TTTTTATAACAGTTTAACATTCACAAACAAATGATAGATGAATAAGTAATAGTAAGATTCTATTCTAGGATTTTTTTTCATTTGAAAAAAGATTTCTAGAGTAGTTTCAGATACACAGACAAATGATAGATGAATAAGTTATATAAAGATTCTATTCTAGTATTTTACTTAGTTCACGGAACAATTTCTAGGACAGTTCAACATGTATAAACGAGTGATAGATAAATAAGTCATAATAAGATTGTGTTTTAGTATTTTACTTCGTTCGAGGAACAATTCCTAAAGCAGTTTAGCATTCATAAACAAATGATAGATGGATGAATCATAGTAAGATTCTATTCTAATATTATACTTTGTTCAAGGAACAATTTTTATAGCAGTTTAACATTCACAGAAAAATGTTAGATAGATAAGTCAGATAAAGGTTGGGTACAGGTATTTCTTTTCGTCCAAAGAACATTTTCTAAAATAGTTTAACATTTACAAACAAATGATAGATGAATAAGTCATATAAAGATTCTATTTTAGTATTTTAGTTTGTTAAAAGAATAGTTTCTAGGACAATTTAAGATTCACAGAAAAATGTTAAATGGATAAATCAGATCAATGTTGATTACAGGTATTTCGTTTCGTTGAAAGAACATTTTCTAAAATAGTTTAATATTTACAAACAAATGATAGATGAATAAGTCATATCAAGATTCCGTTTTAGTACTTTAGTTCGTTAAAAGAACAGTTTCTAGGACAATTTAAGATTCACAGAAAAATGTTAAATGGATAAGTCAGATAAAGGTTGTGTATTGGTATTTGCTTTCGTCGAAAGAACATTTTCTAAAATAGTTTAACATCTACAAACAAATGATAGATGAATAACTGATATCAAGATTCTGTTCTAGTATTTTAGTTCGTTGAGAGAACAATTTGTACATCGGTTTACCATACACAAACAAATGATAGATAAATAAGTCATAGTAAGATTCTGTTCTAGTTTTTTACTTTGCTCGAAGAACAATATCTAAAACGGTTTAACAATCGGAAACAAATGGTAGATGAATAAGTCATAAGAAGATTCTATACAAGTTTTTCTTTTTGTTTCAAAGACAGTTTCTAGAATAGTTTAACATTCATAAACAAATGATAGATGAATAAGTCATACTAAAATACTGTTCTATTATTTTACTTTGTTGAAAAACCAATTCCTAAAGCAGTTCAACGCTCACAAACAAATGATAAATGCTTAAGTCAGATAAAGGTTGTGTACAGGTATTTCGTTTAGTTCAAAGAACAATTTTTTAAAATGGTTTAATTTACACAAACAAATGATACATGAATAAGTCATAGTAAGATTCTGTTCTAGTAATTTACCTCGTTCGAAGAACAATGTTGAGAATAGTGTAATATTCATAAACAAATAATACATGAACAAATGATATGAAGATGCTGTTCTATAATTTCGTTAGCGTTTAACTGAGACTTTTAGCTGATATTAGCACATCTGAAAAGAAATCACAGATGAACACGTCTAACAAACATTGTATTCACACACTTTATTCAATCAAATGCAGGTTATATGTTATGTTTAAAAGATTGACAAGTTAAGGGACAATGAATAAAATCAAACATAAAAATTATGTTCAAGTATTTTCGTCAGTCTGGAGTCATATTTTTATGACACTAGGTAGTTAAGAGGTAGTGATTATGAATGTCTCATAGTCAACTATGATTCAACTATTTGGTTGAAATCGAACTGATGTTCTTAGAAGAAACTATTTGATCGAAGGATGAATGATGATGAATATCATGCTTACTAAACTGACATACTAATATGTTGAAGAACATATGAATTGGTATTTGTATCAAAGAATATGAGTTATTCTCGCATGTAATTTAAATTGAGCGAACAAGAGATTCATTAAAATATGTTGACGGCTTCAACACTACATTTGTCATTGTGTGTTTAATGTGAGGTAGTTCGATATATGAATTGTAGAACATTAGTTAGATAGGAATATTTTGGTTACAGCAATAGAAATTAGTACAATGAATAGTACCATCTATAATCAGACAGAAAATGAATAGTGCAGGGATAAACAGATTCAGAAACGTTTAACTCTCTAGAAAATATAGTTTCATTTCAAGCAATTATTAAGGATCTCATGGACAACGAATAATTCATAAGGCTATAATCTATTCAAATATCATTCTCGTTTCTCAAAATGTGATAGAAGTTACAATATGATTGTAAAGTATATATTAAATAAATAGTTCCAGGCATAATGCTAGTCAAAAACTTCATTCACTCAAGAAAGTGACAGGACTATTTTTATGTACAGGAAATCAGTAGAAAATGAATAACTAAAAGTATCATTCTATTCAATTATTTTATTTGTTTTGAAAGCAAACTTTCGATCACTCAAATAATCGATCGTTGGATAATAGTTGAATTTTTTTAACAAAGATTCTATTTGAATATAATGGTAGAATTTGGAAATAGACAGATACTGTAATAAGAAGAAGAAAAATTGTGTACTATATGAATGATTCTAATGATAATTCTATTCAATTGTTACCTGATTTTTCAAGAAGAATTCAGAGTTTATCTATGATTAATGAATATATTCCAAATGAATATTCAATATCAGTATTCTATTCAGATATATACCTTGTTATAATAGACAATTTGGGATTCGTTTTGACTGATGAATATACTAAAAATGAATATTTCAATAAGGATTCTAGTCAAATATATTCCTCTTTTTATTTAAAATTCGAGATTCATCACACTTACTGAATACACCGTAAATGAATAATTGTTAGAATAATTTTGTTCAAATATTTGCACGATGAACAAGAAACCAAACGCATGTGATAGAATTAGTGTCTATATTGACAATGACTAATTCTAAATAATGTTCTATTCCAATACTTGTTCATTGCAGAAAACAATAGAAAAGATCATTCAGCATTCAATAAATCTGTAGTTAATGTACACGTATTAGTAAGTCATTATTCAGCATTCATTTACTATTACGAGAAACTCCAAATTTGTAACATATAATCAATAAATATGAGACTAATGAATAATTCAGACACATTCTTTCATCGAATATATTCTTCTGTACAACAAAAGCAATGAAAGTGTATTAGCTGATAAGAAGATTCACAATAAATAAACTACTCTAGTATCATTCTATTCAGATATTTTAGTGAACGTCGTGTATTCGACGAAAGAGCAGTGGATAACACAGATTGTAATAAAAATGAATAAAGGACAGGTTTATAGGTACGATATGCTTGAAAAACTCTCTTGAGAAATTCGTTGCTGACACTGGAAGCAGTATCATCATCGAAGTTATCACTGACGTCGCGGGCCTTGCATATAGCTAAGCATAAGCCAAGTAGAACCAAGATGCACACCAGAGTTTTGTTATTAACCATTGCACTTGTTTGTATTGAATGAAAGAATAACGATTGTATAATAGTATTAATTTTGCAAGAATAGTCTCAGTCTTATATAGTCACGACGAAGGCAGAGGAGGAAGAAAAAGTATTAAAAATATATCTATTTTTCTTTTGCAATACGAATCAAGACGTTTTAATTAGAGAAAAAAATAAACGCAAATAAAAAATGACTGATCTTGAAGGTTGTTAAAATTAATGGCCTTGTTTTCCCTCCATAAAAACAAAGAATGCACTTTTTGCTTATGTTAGGGTTATTATGCACATAAAGCAATCCTATTATAAAAATATTGCTTTATATCGATATAAATTTTGATTACTTTTTCATTGATACCTCTGTTTAATTGATCTGCAACAACAAATATTACTGATGTATCAATCGATACAATTTTTGATTACTTTTTCATTGATACCTCTGTTTAATTGATCTGCAAAACATATATGACTGATCTATCAATCGATTGTTCAAATTGATCATTAGGACAGTAACTCATGTGTGACGACAAAGAGACGTGTCATTGTGATGAAAGCAACTCATGCGTGACGAAAACGAAGGATACATACAAAAAAAATTGAACTAGTGAATATCAGCAAAATGTTTCATGAATAAAATAATTTTGCATTTACTAGCATTCGATAATTCACTTAAAATGGCTTTTTTTTTAAATAAGATTGTAACAAAAAAATTAATTTAAACGAATATCTATAATTATCGGTATATATTTGATAAATTCATCAATGTAAACATATTTTTCAACTATACATATATTTATATTTTAAGAGTTTTAATAATATTCTCATATTCTCTTTATGTCGAAACAATTGTTGATATAATATAGAGTTAAGATGTAATAATTAGCTGTTGAATCATATGCTAATTAAAATATATTTTAATTTTAAGAAAAAAAAATAAGTTAGTAATATATATTGACAAAATTTATATTGTTTTAAAAAGTAAATTATTCTAGAACATAAAACTTAACTTTTCTTCTTTCAAACAGTATTATTTATCCAATTATTAATCTTTTCTATTTTTCTAGATATTAAATAATATGATGCATTTAATAAAAATTGTAAATAATATCGACGAAAAATATCGTTATTGTTTTTCAAAAAAAATTACATTTTACTTATCTTGATTAAGAAAATTATTTTCAACGTTGCAGCCTAGTTAAAAAGTCATTTTCAAGAATATAACATTATACAAACTGATAAAGATAAGAAAAAATTATAAAACATAGTATGATAAAAGGAAAAAATGTACATACATATAAAAAATATAATAGTCAAATATGATATTATTAAGTTGTTAATAAGGATTAATTTACATTAAAATTAAAATTTTTATAACTTATAATCATATACAGATACAGGACAAATTTACTAAAATAGGATAAAATAGATTTAGAAGCAGACAGAACGAAGTATAACTTGTTTTTTATTCGATGAGATCTTCTGAGTGTGGTGCTTTCTATTAATATTTTTTCATTTTCAGGTCGATTTGCATCATTATTCTTAATATTATTGTTATCAATCAGAATGTTAATACAATGAATATTTCGATTTATAATTATAATAATCATGTTCATTATTGACTTTCTCTTTAATTGATGATATATTCAATATACCATTCAAAGTACTATTAATACTATTAGTTGTAATACTGTTATGTATTTAATTATTTGGAAAAAAAGAATTTTTATAATTAATTGTATTACTGTTTGTGTTGATAGATGTTTTTTTAATATTCTGATCTAATCAAATATGTTTACTATTATCATTTAATCTAGTATAAAATTTATTATTTTTAGGTACTTGTGTATTTATTAGATATGATATTATATATTGATATTAGTAGATGTTTTTTGTTTGTTAGTATTAGTTATTGTTTTGTATTTACTATTATGTTCTAATGAACTATGACTAATTTCAATAATTGAAATTTGTACAAAGTTCAATACTGTACTTCAATAGTTTACTTTCTGCCATTCTGCCTGCATATGATTGATTAATTATAAAATTAAAATTGTTCATGTTATGTGTCTTTTCATTAATTTTTGATAAGTTTGGTTCATTATTTAAATTATTATTGGTCATGTTCGTACACGAGCTACCTAATTCTGAGGAAAATTTACCTGAAAATTATTGTAAAACTAAACTATTCCGAAAAATAAATACTAGTTCTTGTTTTTTTAATGTCCGTTTATATTCTTCGAACTCGAATTAGGCAACTACTCATTTTATTAGAAGCTCTCATAGATCCATAACACACATGACAATCTTATTACTATAATGAATCTTTAAATGTATGTAACTCATGAAGGTATCTTTTTTATGTAAAAGTTTTGTGACAGAATTAATAAGTAAGCTAAATAGTAGCATACTATTGCTCTAATATTTACTGAAATATCGAAATTAATTAACTTGTGACCGACGAGCCAGATATTTAGATACTTAGATAATAGAAGTGCCAAGATACATTTCCAATATTCTTAATATATGAATTTCATTGTAGGCAATGCAAATTTCGAAATACTAAAATTTTCTCTGGAAAACTGAACCCAACATCTTGTTTCAATGATTTTATTCTAAAATAGAATGATTTAATATAGCTGACTTTCAAAAATTTTGCATCACTTTTATTTTGATTGAAAAAACTAAATAAATACGTTGGTTTTTCTATTGCGTCAGAGACTTTCATATGTGTCATAAATACTATAAATAGATATTATCAGGCAGTGTTTTCGAGAAACATAAAACTTTAAAAAGTTTTTTTTATATAAATGCAGATGTTTTTAGTGGTAATTCATGTTTCTTTTTTTCTTTTCTTAGAACAAAACACATATTTGTGTTATATACAAAGTATTAAATGTAAGAAAAGAAAACAGTATAAGAGTATATAAATGAAGATTTTAAACTTTTTCTAAAAAAAAAGAAAAGAAAGGGAAAAAGCAAATAAAAAAAATTAAATTATTTTTTGAGCAAATATAACAAAAAAAAGGCGGAAATAAAAAGAAGAATTTACCTGAAAGAAAAAGAATGTAAGCAAACACTAGAAACCTTTTGAAGAGAATATCAAGGAAAGAATAATTATTTAACAAGTATAATATAGAGAAAAAGAAATGAACAAAAAGCAATTGAAGCGATAGTATTTAAGTATATTAATGTTTGAACATTATTCTATTTTATAAAGTGAAAGTTTTGTTAAACAAAACAAAGTTATATCATTACAATATATATATATAGAACCTAGTTCATCATGATTTTCCTATCAAAACGACCAAATAGTCATCAAGGTTCATCTACTCGAGAAGCATGTCTATCTATTGTAGGTTTATTCTTATCCATTGGACTTATTGGTGGTCTAGCTGGACTCATTTATGGTAGTTACATATATATATGTACGAATCTTTTAATTTATTTTCTTACTTCTTTAGGTTTAGTAACAAACAGTGCACCAAGTACGATGTTTGGTGCAATTGCGTTTAGTATTTCTTTATTTTTCACAATTATATTTATTCTTGTGATCATATTCTGTCTTAAAAGTGTTACTGGTGATTCAAATAAGAAACGTCACAAACAAAATGCTCACATGAAACATATAAATTCGGCACAAAACATATCAACAGTTTCAACTGCACCAAATTATGAACAAACAAGTAGTTATAATACACAGATTTATTCACCATCGGTTCCTATAGAATTATTAGATAGTTCAACCAATGGTTTTGGTAAACAAATGCAATCATCTTCATTACCACCAATTGCTTTTGATTCTTTAAATCACAGTAATTCATCAACTAATATTTATGATTTAAGACAAAATTATTACAATGGACATTAAAAAATTCTTACTTTTTTTCTCTCAATATATTATATATAAATACATTCCAAAGAATCGAGCGGGTCTCTTTCTTTTAATTTTTTTTTTCTATTTTTAACTTGTACGTACGAACGTATGCATTATAAATAATCTAAAGTATTGTAGAAAAAAAAACTGAGGGAAAGAATAATGTTTGAATATATAGTGTTGTCAGCGGCATCAAAATCAACTGATGACTTATTGATATAAATATGTGATTGTTTTGTATTTTCGTAAACATGTGAGAGAGAGAGAGGGAAAAAGAACTTTAAAGCAAAAGGTGAAAACTTGTTATTGTTTTTGTTCATATTTCAATCATGCATCTTTCTTTCTTTTACATAAGAAGCAAAACAAATGTAAAACGCCACTGTTCGTATTTTTTTTTGTTTAGTTTCGTACATTTCTGTTTACGATTCACTATCAAATCGAATAGAAAGTAGAATTTTATATTGATTCAAACAAACTAAATGCCAACGAAAACTCGCTGGGCACTTAATCCAAAAAAGTGGTTCGATAATATGTCAAATAGCACGCAAAAACGTGATAGAATTGATAATATATTACCAGCAGCAACACGAGGATTATCCTTATCAACACATACTATACATCTTTCTCGATCAAAAAATAAAGCAAAAGTAACACCAGTTATGTTATCAGCTGATGCAAATAAACATAATGCAGCTATATTAACGCCTATGACACAATTTCAATTACCAGCATTTAGTGTTAGACGTGATAGAACATCATTATTATTTTCATCCATATCAGGTAATCGTCAAAATACATTTTTTCCTACTCATACTGAACCAACTATACGTAAACGTGGTCGTTGTGAAAAAGAAGAACTTTCAATTGATACAACCCGATCAATTACTCAACCAACACAAACAATTATATCTGCTTCATTAACAAGTGAAAATATTCAACAAAATACTGCAATAAAACCAACGGAAATGACTCTATCAAATATGTCACATCATTGTTTAATTGATTATCCAAGACGTTCATCAGATCCAATTGTAGAATCTACATCACCAGCAAATTCTTCATCAGCATCATCTGCAGTTAATGATAATGATTATTCATCGGCAAGTGAATTATTTAATGATATATCTAATTATAATAAATCAGAACAACAATTATTAAGACTAAAAGCTCTTTCAGTTGAATCCATAGCTGATTCTGAAACATCATTCAAAAACTTTCCTTCTCGTCCTATTATACATTATCATCGAAGGTTAATAAATACTTCAAATATAAATGGTAATAATACTCAATTACAAGGACAACAAATCTTTAGATCATCATCTCGTTCACATAGTCTTGAAGATATTTTTGAAGATAGTCAAACATTTTCAACAATAATAAAACGTCCACAATCATCAGTACTTAATGATAAAAATATAGAAACATCGAAATTTAATCATAATGCTCATAATACATATGATTTAACTATTGATACAATTGATGAATTATCTAATTGTTCTAAAAGTCCTGTAGATTCATTTGTAGGTGGTTCATATTCTGATGAGTCACTTCGTCCAGCCTATGATGAAGAATGTTATGCAACATTACCACGTGGAAGTTCAACTGAACAAATAAATAATAATACACAACATGATCTTCGTACTATTGTTGATGAATGTCTTCGTCCAATAGTAGATTCAATTGGTAAAAATCGTCCAACAAAAAATCAACATCGTTCAAAACGTGCTAGTATTAATAGTGATCAAACACAATTAATTATTGAAGATATCACCGATAAATTATCGTCTAGTTTGGACTATTCGATATATACACAGCATCAAAGATGTTGCTGATTTTTTATATATTTTTCTTAGCAATAAATAAAAAAACGATTTAAGGTAAATTATTAGTTTAAGTTTCAAATAAAATATTCATCACAATAATATTCTAAAAAGATTTTATGATGTTGAACAACAAGACATAAATAATATTACACAAGGTAGTTTCTGTGTTGTATGGACAAAAATGACTTTCATTATACTGAATATATGTTGCGAGATTATCTTGTATAATATGATTGAGTTCATTTATCAATAGAAAAAAAATGTATAGACTAATTTTGTTGCCAGACAATTCATAGAGAACGTTCGAATAAAAGTAACTATTTTCGTATAAGAAAGATTAAAACCGTAAAAAAATCACGAACAGATAATCTCAGATTAATATCCTATCGAACTTTCATTTATACTTATTGTACGCAGAAAAAATTCTTCGATTTTTTTGTCATGTTGTGACTATATGCTACGATTTTAGCCCATATGTTTTCATTTTTCAATATTAACACCTTTCTTCATTTTTTTATATATTTGTGATTAATTTTACACTTATAATTCTCATGTACCACCCACTATCATTGCACGGCATGGTATGTCTTAGTTTAATCTTATCCATTCCTACACTACAATTATCGACGACATGTCAGCCGGAAGTCACTATGTTAATCTATTAATCATAAAAATAGAGAATGAAGTCAAGTGAAGACGATGGGAGTATGGTGACCACTTGAAATCACATTACCTACGGCCGTTCCTCTCTGCATGAAATAAAGTCAATGTATGTTATTTGCAATTTGATCTTTATTTTTATGTAAATTATTGATTTCATATGATATTCAATGTAATATAAGTGAATCAAATTTATATTAAATTCAATCTTATCTTTTCGATAAAAAAAGATACCGCCATGACAGAAAGAAAAAATTCATTTATATTATACTTTAACACTTTCTTTACTGATAGAGAAAAAAACACATACATAACGAATTATGTTTGATCTCATAAAATGATGAGTATCGTGTATTATGAATACCCATTGGCAATAATTATACATGTGCTCATCTCTTTGATCGTAATGTGCAAGTATTGGATTAAACAAAGCGATATACATATAAATACAAAATGACACTACTTTCAATTTTATAATTGAAAAAGAAAATGTTATTACATTACGTGCATGAAATACATATGACACATTATGTTTGTTTGACGTTGAAAATTAGACGAGATTATGTCGGTGTACATAAAGATGAATATTTGATATTCATTTACACATTCCTCAAGTGCTAGAGTACTATATGAACATCCTTCCGATTCAAGAATAAAATCATTAAATTTCATAATTCTAAATAAATGATACTTTTTCTAGAATGCAAAAACAACTAAGAAAAACAAAATGTCTGTTTTTGTTCGATCAAAGAATATTTCTTATATTGATTAGTATACAACTGATAATGAATAAAAAAAGAAGACGAGAAAGAAGATCATTTCGATAGTTAGTGTAAGATAACACTGTTGTGCTGATTAGACTCTTCACATGATATTCCTGATCTTCAAGATGCACACAGCAGGATGATTGCATGGGTGATATAAATGTAATATAGAAGAAAATTGAACGTCGGCAATATTGTTTTACATATCACATTCATTGACACTCTCTGGAAAATAAAATTCATTATATATGAGCTGTAACCGATTGCTTTATAATTTATTGCTATTGTTATAAAAAAAAGAAAAACTTCAAGTGTTAATGAAAAGGGAAGAGAAGAAGCAGTATTATTTGCCGATGCGTGACGTGTAACAGAATTTGAAATGTGTGAGAGATGAGAATAAAAAAATCGAAGTGTACTCATTTTCCCACTTCACTTGACTTCATTTCCATTTTTAGATTAACTTTTTTGTTTTGTCTCATATTCTTTTCGATAATTGCATAGCGTGCATAAGCAGAGATTATTAAGGTTGACTAAATGGACGTCGTTCCATTGCGAGAAAATGAAAATGATTTTATAAGTGTAAATTAGTGAGCGAAAAAGATTGATAGTGACTGATTGTAAGGATCAGTATGTCGGACATAAGAGCGTCAAAAGCAAGGAAGGGTGAAGAGTCATTATGAAAGATAAAATGAGCAATCAAGTATTGACTAGTATACAATACATATTGTCAAGATTTATTTTCGAGAGTTGCGAGAATGATATTTCGATCTGTATTTTATCGAAAATAAATCGTTATATTTAAAAGTTGTTAATAAGATAAATATATGGAGTAATTCTACAATTATTCATGTTTTACGAAAAACAACCCTCGTTATATACAAGGTAGTGTGAAAAGAACACTTCAATAAGAAATTTAAATATCTTCACTTCGATCATTGATGGAACTTTACTTTCCTACTAATAAGTCTTAAGATTGGTCTTATGAAATAAATGTTATTTGTTATCAAATAAGGAAAATTCATTTGAAATACGTTGTAGATAATTGTTATCTGAGAGAATAACAAGAAGAAATCAAAATAAACTTTATTTATGATATTATATTGTTGTACATATTGAAATTTTTTCAAACTAGTTAGGCATAATTGAAGCACTGCAGGCAAAAAATGTGTGTGGCAAATTTTTATTAATTGCTATCAATAAGTAAATATTCACCGCCTTGTATATATTTTTAAGTACTACACGAAGTTATCATATATACAATATATTAATCTATAACGAAATGTTTCCATAATAGGCAAGCTCGTTCATTGAAGATTGGTCTGTTAGATTTGAGAATATTCATGATAACTTTAGTTTAAACATTGATAAAAAAAAAATCTTATTTCATTATTCAAGGATTTATAAGTGTGTTTCGAAAAACACTTTTTCAAAATGTTTATTACGATTTAACATCACCTTCTACTTGTATTTTACAGAAAATAGCAAAAATAAAAATTAATCTAGATTAACAAAAAAGAATCAATATCCAGAGAGAGAAAGAAAACCATATTCATTAAAGTGAAATCATTCCACTCTGTTGCATTTGTTCTCTTAATAATATAATACTCGCTCTTTGATCAGCTGGTAATTGAGCTATTTGAGCTTCACTTAATTGTAGTACTTGCATTAATAATTGAGCTTTTTCTTGATCAGTACGTGATAGAGGTGAATTACCAGTTAATGTTGAATTTGGTTGTTGAAGAGGAGCTGCTGCTGCCATTGGAAAATTCATTGATGCTAATTGTGGATGAAATGGAGGTGGTGGAACAATTGGTAAAGGTGGTTGTGATACAAGATTTGGTGTTGCTTGAAATGGAGGATTAGGTAGTAAATTACCAACAAGATTATGTGGTGCTGGTGAAGAATTATTTAAGATATTTAATGATTGAATATCTGGTCGTTTATGAAGCATAGTAGCAGCTTCAGTTGGTGGAATAAGACCCATAATAACAAGTGATTGTAACATAGCATATGTTAATTGTGGATTTTGAATAAGAATATTTCGTGCTTCAGCTGGATATTCTTTAATAATTGTTTGCATTTGTTTCATTAGATCTACAACTTGTTCTGGTGGAAGATTAACTAAAAAAAAGTTTTATGAATAGAAAATTTGTAAAAATAAAAATTTATTTTCGTTTACCAATTGTTCGAGCAATAACTTCTGGAACTTTATCTGGTGTTATATTAGCACTTTGAACTGTTTCAAATGTTGGTACACCAACAGTTACTTGTTGATGAAGTAATCGTAATTCATCAGCTTGTGATGATGCTTTATCAACACGTAATGATCGACCACCAAATTCAAAACCATTTAAATTTCGAATTGCACTTTGAGCCATATCTGCATCTATTAAACAAAATATAATTTATATATGATTAAATTACAAACGATAATTACCTGTATATTCAGCAAATCCATATCCTTTTGGATTTCCTGTTTCACGATCGAATACAATACGAAATGATAATACAGGTCCAATAACAGTAAATATTTCTTTCATTTGATCTTCTGATGTTCCATGAGGAATATTACCAACAAATACTGATCGTGCTTGTTTTTCTTCAACTGACATTTCAATTAATCTAAAATTAAAGTTATATTCAATTTCAATACGAAAAACAATCTTTCTCTTCTAACGATATGTTCATTTACTGAAATACAGTATATAAAGACACAATTCTAGCCTAAGTAGAAATTAATCTAACTGTTCACGATAAAAAAATTCTTTGTACAAAGATTGAAATTTTCTTTGATTTAAATTTTGACAACATTTTTATTCTTGCCTTATATTTTAATATGAGTTATATGATTGGTCAAAAGAATCCATTTAACTTGTATTCATAAGGTTTTATTTTTATAATATTCAAAGTGCATAAATAATTTAAAAAAAAGTTTCGAAAAATAAACCAATTATCGGATAAAAAAATGAAAATCATTTGTTCTTGAAATGAACTCTTTCAGTGTCGTTGATTGAATACAAATAGTAAGATAAGAGTATATTATAGGTTTGTTTTACTAATTTTGCAGTTATTAATTTTTTTCAAGGTTATCTATATAACGATTAAAAACAAATCGAAAGAGGGAGTGACAATAAAAAGAAATCTATTATTACTGTTCTTATTCTTATTATTTTTTATTCTTTATCATATGCTTTTTATAGGTTATTAATTGTAGAAAATAACTGAGAATAGTTCATTTTGAATATTAGCTCAAAAACCGAAAATAGAAAGATTCATCTTACCTTTTTGCTTATATTCATTACAGTTGTTTTTTATATATATCCAAGACAAAATTTATTATTATTATCGATTGATTGTGAAAAATTTCAATGAATACAATCACGGCGGCTACTACTAGCAGTTCAAAAGGTAAGGATTCACAAAAAAAAATGAAATAAATGATGAATATGAACAAATTATTGAGACAAACATATATATATATATATGCTCACGTATTCAAGCGTTTTCCAAAGAGAAGATGTATACAATATACAATGTTATTGTACTATCCATATAATAGTTCAAAGTATCTTAAGCGATAATATTCAAACGATGAAATTTGAAAATTTCATGCGAGAGAAATGACATTTTGTAATTTGCGTGGATGACTACTGGCGCCCTCTATTCAACTGGTAAAACGTATCCGAAGCGGGATCAGTGATATTATCAATTGCTCCGGTTATACAATACTGAAAAGAACGAACTTTTACAGTTTATTTATAATACAGAGAAAGATAATTAGATGATTCATGGAATTCTGAACACACTGTTTGACTTTAATGAGAGTAAACAGTATTGATGATTACGAGATTTTAATTAGGTATTACTTGTATATATATCAAATGACAGATGGGATTCAGAAGATTCTACTTGCATAGTTATAGTAAAAAACTAAGAGCGATGACAATAAGAGAGTGTGATATATATTTATTAGTTTATCTGTATTAGAGATGTCGCATATCTGATTTAAGTATTTCACTGTTTGAATTATTACATATAATTCAATCGTTACAGTTCATGCGCATAAGTAAATAATAATATCAGATATATGTATGTGGCGGAAATAATAGTGATCTATCAATATTTTTAATCTAATTAAAATATCAGACTAAGCCATTTATATCAATAACTATCTGTACAGATTTTATTCTTCATGTCACCTTTCAGCTTCTGTCCGATACAATATAGGTTCTTTTATCTACTGATTTTTTCGTATCAGCATTCACATTCAAATTTATTATAGCTACTATAATCTCAGTATTGTCTCAAATTTGTTTTTTACAAATGCAAATATTTTAATTATAATTTTTTGAATTGTAGGTCCACCAGACGACAATCGTATAGTTGATGAAAGCAGCATTAAAGACACAAATTCGTCGAGTTATTTACAGTAAAGTTTCATCCCGTTAAAGGGGTATATATAACATGAAAAGAATTGTTTTATTTCAGAGATGATGAAGATGATCCATTTACATTTCGCAGTCGAAAATCATATCCACAACGAGTTAATCGACCCAAATTGAATTATCGTGATTTAGACCGTGGCATGTATGATGCACATGAACTTCGACAATCTTTGTGGGCACTTGGTGGACCAGGAGCATTACATAAAACTAGTCCAGTTAGTAAAAATAATACAAATTATAGTGATGATGAAGATGAAGAAGATATGACTGTTGATGATGAAACTGATGATATATTAAATGAACAAAAAAATAAATCTAATGATGATGTTGATCAGAAACATCGTCGTCTTTGGTGTATATGTAAGAAACCATGGGATCATTCAAGGCTTATGCTTCGATGTGATTCATGTGCTAATTGGTATCATGGAGATTGGTAAAGGAACTTTTTTTAATTAAAATTTTATTCGATTAATAATAATTTAATTTAATTTAGCATTGGTGTAACCAAAGAGCAAGCCAGAGTGCTTGATATGAATGGTGATCAATTTGTTTGTCCACCTTGCCAAGGTATGCTAGATTATTAAACATTAACTCATTTCTAATAATTAATAAATCTATTAAAAATGTCGCCTGAATCTTTTTCTATTGTATGCTTATATCTTTGTAGTAATAACGGTAAGTCCAGGAATGAAACCTGGACGATCATCTGATGAATCAATATTGATTAAACGAAAACGTATAGACGCTGTGTCACCAAGTGATCGTAAAGTTAATGAAAGAAATGGAAATCTAGCTTCAATCAAACATTTAACACATTCTGAACCTTCCAAACGACCTAAAACAGGAATCTTCTTTCAACGTGATTCATCAACAGTAAATATATAATTTTTATTTTCATTTCATCAAAATAATCGTCTCGTTCGCAGGAGCCACAAATTCATTGTATTGTACATGGTTGTTCTAACTGGGCAAAATCCGGTTGGGTATATTGTTCATCTGCTTGTATTCGCCGTCATATTAATGATACATTACAAGCAATTCAACGAAGCAAAGGAGCAGTATGTTATTTTTTCAAAAAAACAAATTTTTTTTTATTAATTTTTTTCTTACTTTATATAATAGGATAATGAAAATCCGCCATCTCGTGAAGATATTTTATTATATGAAAATCGAACAAAAAAAGTTCTTGATAGAAAATTAGTTCCTAAAGTTGAAGATTTATGTACGTGGATAAATCATAATCCATCCTATGAAATAGTTAAACCAGCTTTGAAACAATCAATATTATTAACAGCTAATGAATCTAAATCAGCTTTACAACCAGGTTTAGTACGTTCATCATCTATTATTGCACCTAAAACTCCTACAACACCGAATTCAACTAAACCAAAACTTTCATGGGCACCAGTTGCACCGAATACAAAACCAATACCAATAAAAAAAGCACCAGTTCAAGTTGGAAGACAAACAAGTAATACATCAGCATCATCTACTGTTCAAAATTATGCCGATATTCGAATGAAAGTTCCTCAAGCTTTATATGATAAATTAATTGCAAGGTAAATAAATCTTTTGTTTTATTTTATCTAATTATTTCATATGTCTAATTGTATATAGATTAGAAAAAAGTGGTGAAAAACTAATGTCAAATGATGATATGCGAATACTTGTTGATAAAATAGAAGAAGAAATGTATCGTGTTTATGGTAAAGTTGATAATTCATATAAAAATAAATTTCGTTCATTATTGGCAAATATTAGTAATATGAATAATAGCGTAAATAAAGATTTTTGAAATGTTCTTTATTCTATATTAAATTATTTTTTATTTAGTTTTTTTATAAACATATTCTTTCAAAAGAAGTTACAGCTAAACAAATTGTTGCAATGAAACCTGAAGATATGTTACCACCAGGTACAAAAACAAAATTTCTTTTTATTTAGAAAATAAATATAAACTTTTTTTCTAGAGGAAAAAGAAAAACGTAAAGATGAATTTGAAAAAGAAGTTCAAATGATTATGAAAGCTGAAGAACAATCAGCTGAGGAAATGGCAAGACGTGCTAGAACAAAAAATACTCGACAAGGTATTGTTGATAATGATTCAGTGTTACCTATGTTTAAAAATGTAAGATATTTGTTTTCGAAAAAAAATAAAGTTATAATCTTATTTTATTTAAAGAATGAACAAAAAGTAATTGAAGAAAAAAATCCTGAACGTAATGAATCAAAATCTATTGAAACATCTAAAACAACTACAGAAGTAAAAAAGAATACAAATTCAAAACCTATTGTCAAATCAAAGAAACCAATCACTTCTACTACTGGACAAAAATCATCTACTATAAATTCTAAACCTAAAGTTCAAACAACGATTTCTAAAACTGATACAACATCTTCACATGGTAAACATACATTTGATATTAATTGCTCAATATGTACGAATTCAACAGCACTAAAAATAGCATCTCCAAAAGCATCTACATCGATTCCTACTGGTAAATTACGTAAGAGATTAGAGATAAATAGTTTCTACTTCGGAATCAGAAAGAAATAGATTTGTTTAATGAAACAGCAATCTTTTATTCCCATTGGAATGAAGCTGTCTATCTATGAAAGAGATCAATGAAATTGTTTCTTGATAGTTTAACGTCAAATCTAGTTAGTTGAATATATCCAACACTGATTAATAATAGTACTCCATAAAATCTCAGTAAACTGATCTATGTATTATGAGCTTTGATAAAACAATTATAGTGTTATTACCTGGAAAATACAGTAATGTTCATAGCGAGTTAATATACCTCATTTATCATATTATATATGTTGAAAACAAGTTTATTGTTCTAAGTTAAATATGTATTGTATTTTTATTTTTAGAAATTCCAGAAATTATTCCTCAACCTACTGAATCATTACCAATTAAGTCTTCAGATGATCTTCCAAATCTTCCAGTAATATCACCACCACCTCGTATCGAATCAAATGAAGTATCAAATGCTACATTTCAACCAGTTGATCTCGATAATGATTATATTGAACCAGAAAGTCCAACAGGCATTGATGCTTTACTTTACGATGATGATGATGATTTAAATAATATGCATAGTCATTCTCGACATGCAACAACACTTCAACATGTAGATTCACCCGGTGATAATAATGATTATTTCCCACCAGTACAACCATCAGTTCGCGATGATTACAATCCTCTAGCTGCATCCAAACCTAAAACTGATACACCATCGATGTAAATTAAATCATTTTTCTTATTCATTATTATTTTTTTATCTTTTTCTTCTTTATTAGGTATCAACCAACACCTATTGCTCGTTCATCAAGTATACCAAATCAATGGCGTGGTGTTATACTTACACCTGATGCTAAAATTCCATGTCAATCTCTCCGTATATACGGAGAAGGTGAATATCTTATTGGTGACATTCCAGAACAACTTGGTATTCTTGGACGACTTCGACTCGGTGATCTTTGGGAATATATTCGTGATTCAATTGCTGTTCGTGATGTAATTATTTTAACACTTACACCATTAAATAATAATGATAATAATGCATTTTTACGATATGTTGATACAATGCGTACATCAGGACGAGCTGCAGTTATTAATAAACGAACAGAACCATCAATTATTCGTGATATGTATGTTTTACCAGCTGATCTAAAAGATTGTTCATCTAATGTTATATCAACATTTTCTCTATCAACGAATATTGATTCAAAACAATTATTTCTCATTGTTGTTGGATCAGGAAAAAAATCAACAAAATCTTTAAATCGTCCAAATGAAAGTCATTCATCGAGTAATTTAACTTATAAACCTGTTTCATTGCAAGATTCAACAGCAATACGAGATCCTCGATTACTTAGAAATAAAGATCCACGATTGACTGGACAGAATGGTCCAGAAATAACTACAAACGATAATACTATTTCTTCAATACCACAGATACCAAACACCAATAGTACGAAATCAATGTCAAATCAAAAGTAAGTAAGGATGTGGGTAAGAGATGAACGCCCACACCATCAAGATGACATTTTAATCGAATTGAAAAACTATACGAATACTTTTGTTTAGATCTACTGAAGATTTATTCAAATTAACATCTGAATCTTTTGAACGTATTCGTCACTCAAAATCAGCTGATGCTATTCATTCAATAGTTATGTCTACTTTGGAAATTTTAAAATCTAATGGACGTGAAGATTTATGTACAAAATTTACTAATGATCTTCATACTAAAATGTCCGAATGGCAAAAATTAAAAGAAACTAATTCGAATAGACCTGTTACAGCAGACGATAATTTAAATGAAGAAAATATGGAAGTTGATGATGAACAAGATGATAAACTTAAAAGACAATTATCTGAAAGTGAATATAATGATGTTGATTATCGGTTTCTTGGTCAAGATACAGATCATCGTATGACAACAAGTAGTGTACCTGAAAATGAACAATCCAAAGATGTAACAACGAAATCACCTTTTTCAGATGTATTTTCAGCTCATCGTGATGCTGATGATCGATCAATGAAATCAAATTTAACAAAAGAAGAACGAGAGAAGAAAAATAATGATTATTAGTAAAGGAATTCCGATTTTCGTACAGATGGTGTTAAAATAACATTACTACGATGAACCTATGCGAGGTCTACTCGACCATTATTTGTTTTTTTTTAACGTTGGATTGTTTTTTTTCGAAATAAAGAAAGAATATTGTGAATATGAAACAAAAAACAAGAGACTTTTTCTTTTTGAAATGTTTTGTTAAATCATTGTAAAAATAAAGTTTTTCTTTTTGTGATCTATAAAATCATTATTATTAGAAACAAATTTTATTACAACTGTTGTTATTGAATGAAGGTTAAGATCTATTTATATAGTTTTATAAATGCAACAAGTGTCTTTATTTGTTTATATGTTATCATCTATCTAGTGACTGGGTATATCACATTAGTAAGTAAAATCATATCTTGTAGATAAAAAAAGACATAAAAGTGAATATGAAAAGAAGCTAGTGATTTTTTTTCTTCAAGTCTTTCTATTATTCAATATAATAGTAAATAAATTCGATGTTTTTATGAAATAATTTGTTAATATTGAGTACGAATGTATTGCACCGTTATAAAGTTGTAACATAGTAATTAAGAAATGAACAAATGTACTCAATTATATTCCCATCGATATACTATTTTTTTCCATGAGAGGAACCCTTCGCAATTGATTCGGATACACTATAAATATAATGTACTGAATTATCTTTTTCTTCTAATCAGTTTTATTTCAAGCAAAACAAACTACACACTAAACAAAGGAAATGAATTTTATCAAATAAGCCTAGAAAAAGAGAAGCTTGATTGTATAATTATTTAACGAAGATGCATCATCATGAATTCTTCTTTCGTTTCATATCCATCCCAAATACCTTTGGATTCAGTTTTTTT